TGGAAACTCACTGCATCCTGTGTCCATCAGTGTCATGGAGTATTAAAACCAAATTTTTTTTTCCCTTGTAAACTTAGAAGACAAATGATGAAATATCCTGGCCTGACACATCCCACAATGTGCTTGTTGTCAACCTTTTCCACTCTTGCCAAGACCCAGCCAAGGTGAGTCATGATAGAGGTCACCAAATGGTCAGGAGTCACTTGCAGGGACCCTTGGATCTCTCTTGGGTCTCTATCCCAACTTCACTCTAGATTTCATGTTATTTACTTTTGCCTTTGAACAGAAGTTTGCCACCATCCTTTGGCCTCATTCTTGGGTCTTGAATATCCTGTTTTCTAGCCTCTGTAGGACTTTGGCTTGGTTTTGTCTCGCTCCTTCCCTGCTCCTGACTTCCTCTAACCTTGTTCAGGCCTCTAAAGCAGAACCCTGGCACTAGCTTAAGTGAATGACCTTCAGCCAAACTCTAGCTCCAGCAATGGCCTGGCTTGGATGTTACATTATTGCAAAGCACTGAATTCCAGATTTTCCTATTCAAATGGGAATTTTAGTAATACAAGGTTTCTGTCTTCTGTCTCTGGCACTTTCATCAGACAATAATAAAGATTTAGAAGTACTGTCAGTATATGTGAGCTAAAGTGATTCCTTCCACCACCACTCAGGCATGTTTGAAAACAATTTCCTGAGTGTTCATCTTTAATAGCAGATATGCAGTATTACTTTAAAGAAGAGGGAGAAGAGGACATTAGGACACTTGCTGAATTTATCCCAAGGTTGAATCAAGTAAAGAAGAATCAGCTTGGCTGGGTAGAGAGGCTGGGGTGAGGTTCATAACATATGATTGGGGAGCTTGGCTTTAAACTAAGGAGAAAATGTACAAATTCATGTTTCAGTCATAACAAACCATCCATTCACTGGCTGCCTTCCTTCCCAGAAGTTTCAGACATGGAAGGATTCTAAAATGAATACAGAATCTGCTTGAGTTGCATAGATCTAATGTTAGAAAAGATTCACACTTTTAAGTGACTAATTATATAGCTGTGGAAAATATCACTTTTTTGTCAAGAGGTAAGGACTTGAATTGAACCTTCATGAGCCCTGATCAACCAACAACTCTCACACTTCATCAAGTGTTCAGTGACATGAAGAAAATCAGCAATGCATATATTATATCACTGTGTTGTCCTTTCTCATGACCCTCAAATTGGGAAGAGAAGAAAACTATAACCAGGAGGTATCTCTATTGGCTAAGCCTCAAAATATCAGCAAGACAAGAGTCCACTGAAAATGTTTTGTAAAACACCAATGCCATGTGTTCTCCCAGTAAAGCCATGGAGCAATAAGGTTACATCCAACAATTTGATCACGGTGCACTCACACCTCAGGCATTGTTCATATCAAGGAGACAAAGGTGGGTACACAGGTAAGGAAGATGGGTCTGGGGACTCCCCCAAATGCTCTCAGCCTGTGCCTGGATCTGCCTGAGTTTAGAGTTCTAAAAGAAAGACCCCCTTTGTGTCATCTACTGAGTCAACTGCAAGCAATTGATCAACAAATTCAACCTAACATTTGGTAGCAGAGAATCAAGATTTCTACCATTTCCAAGACTACAGGGCTCTAGTTAGCAAATCCCATAGTAAATATTCTCATGTTTGATGAAAAATGAGTATGACAAGCAGAAAAAAAATCACTTGACTAGTATTTTCATGTAAGATGCTTTGGTTGACAAATGTAATAGTTATCTAATTCCCAATCCTTTCTTCCCATGACTTTGGTCATGAGTCACAGAGATTTAGCTGTTCTGGCGAAAGAATACACGTCCTTATTGTTTAGTATAGATGGCAATGTTAAAACTATTCTAAGTTAAGAACAGTTGGCAATATGCTGGATGAGACAATAAGAATCAGAAAAACCTTAGAAATATGTACACAAAAATTGCTTCTCAAAACTATCATCTTGAGGGGCTGGGATGTGGCTCAAGCGGTAGCGCGCTCGCCTGGCATGCGTGCGGCCCGGGTTCGATCTTCAGCACCACATACAAACAAAACTATCATCTTGAGAAACAATTCATTTATTTTCTTTATTGCCTTCAGACAAAGTTCACGCACCACCCTTGAAACACAGCCTTGAGGTATCATAGTTATTCCTCGGTTTTGACCCAAAGCAACATTACCCAGTTTTGACTGTTTTCAAAAATCACTCTGATGGGATGAATATTATTGTGTTGGCAATAATCTATCAAATGTGCTGCAGTCCTCTAGATCCCTAGAGAAAATTCTGTAGCTATACCAAACAACAGCACCATTAATAGCATGTGCACAGCCTTCATCTGGACGCCTTCAAAAGCTCTGGTCTATTTTCTTAAACTCAGATGCAGGACTACCTCTGGGTCACACACAGAATCACTGGGCTGGAAGGGAAAATGTGGTTCTACACAGCTGGAATAAAACATTAAATGCGTAGCTAGTGCCTGCTTATATAGAAGAGGCCTTTAGCTTGAAATACTACTGTTTCTACCAATTTCTAAGGGCCTTCCTGAAGAGAAGAAAAATTTCTTGGCATAATGTGCACTGGAAAAGGTGAAACGTGATTTTGGGCCCTGGAAGATGTTTGCAGATTTGGTCCTCATCACTCACTGCTGTGCTTGTGTCTAGGAAGCCTGAATGCAGACTAAGAGGTCAGAAGTATGTGTGCAGTTGCTGATATCAACACTATGCTCCAAAACAGGACAAAGGATATTGGAGGTAGCAAGGAGGCTCCCAAAAAATATCTGATGGGACACGAATGATGTGTATTTCCTGTTCTAAATTGTGAATTTTGGTTAGTTCCATAATATTTATCCTCAGGAAAGTCCACGATCACACACATTTTTATGAATTTCTTTCTTTAACCTCTTTGAAGTTTAAAGACATAAGGTTTTTTTCATCCCCCAAAGTCTTAATCTTCTATGGAGATTATATTAATAGGGCTCAATATAAGGAGAAACCCTTTTTGTTTTTGAGAATCCTCACAGTTGTCTACAGAGTTCATTCATTTCTCAACAAATCCTACCTCTGAGTGTTATATCCTAGTGGCTGAAAGTGTAGGCTTTAAAGTAGACCATCAGGATCCTGGCTCTGCTATTTAATTTCTGTGTAACCTTGGGAAAATTACTGAAGCTCTCTGCACCTCAAGTCTCCTATCAATAAGGTAGAGATAATGGTACTTTCCTCATATGGGTGAGATAAAATACTGCCAGTAAGAGCAACAAAAGTCAACCCAGATATTGAGTAGGTACTCAATAAATGCTAACTCATTACTATCTTATTTATAATTTCCATTTGTATGGTCAGAAGTCTGGATCAAGGAGTGCAAATTGCTACATACTTACACTGCTGCACAGGGAAAGAATTACAGATAGTAATATACTGTAATATATATTACTGTGTATATAGGATTTCTTCTCCCATTACTTTAATCTAGTGTCTTTCCTATGTAAAAATAGTCCTTGTTTAAAAACAATATTTTGATATTTATGGATCTCTACGTGATAATCACAGTAATAATCAGTTTATTACAGACTCTGGGCTAAGAATTATGTCATTTCATTCTCAACAGAACCCCAGAAGATACCATTACCACTCTTATTTACAGGTGAGGAAGCAGTCCAAACAGGTTCTGAGAGGCTTGAAGTTGCATACAGCTAGGCAGGTCAGAGTAAGATCTGACCCTGTGTTCATCCAAATCAAATACCTTCTTACAGCACTAAAAAGCAGTTTCACAGTTTGTTTTTAAATAATTCTAAAATTTCTTTCGTTTGTTTGTTTGTTTGTTTGTTTAGGTTTCTTAACTCTCTAAGAGCCGAAAGTCTTACTTGGCACATGGCTTTTGAATCCTCCTTGAATCTAGTTTTCTCTTGACCCATATGTAGGGCAAAGGTCAGTTTGGACACAGCCTGTGGAGTTCATGGTATTCTTTTCTGGGCAGCTGCAATGAAACTACTCTCAGAATGCTATTGGCCTTAGGCTCAGCTCCATCGTACCACCCCAACATATTGCTTTGTAATGTGCTATGTTGGAGCATGGACAGATAATGTAGACTTGTCAAATAATATGTCAAAGCAATGTTCAAACTTTCTTCCTTCCAGGAAGAGTTTCTTCCTTGGGGATCAGGGCTTACTTGCCTGTATGTGCTCTGAAGGCACAGGGCTCTCTCTTTATGCTGTTCCTATCAGGACAGAGTAAATCTCTATTTTATGTAAATCAAAGGACATGAGGCAATCACAGTTAATACTTAACTCAGGCACTACTTTCTCCAGAAGCCTCCCTTGATTTCCTCTTGCTAGGGAAGATACCCAACTTCTGTTCTCTTATCATTACTCTTACCCATCTAGTATTAAAATGATAGTTTTAAAGCTTGTCACTCTCTTCTGACTGTGTTTGTAGACAGGGATCATGTCTCATTTGGTGCTGGTAATCAGCACATATGCACCAAATGCACTCATGGCAGGATCTATTATGAAGGTTGGGCATTAAGATATTATAGTCAGTTGGTGGAGGTATAGTCCAGTCATTGAATACTCATAATATCACTTCTGGCATTATTCTAATACTCAGCATGAATCACAACATCTTACACATGTAGGCACTTGGGAAGTGGACATTGACTCAATGACTGATTAACTGGTTGGATGAATGAACATCAAGCATATCAGAATCTGACTGGCAACTGGATATGTCATGAAAGGCATGAGATTTGTAGCAACACTTTTTGTTTTATTTAATAATGAACAATTCCTAATAATCAAGAACCTTTGATCATTATACATCCCAATAACAATGTTCCACAAGGAAATATTAGCCCTTGCTCTTAGACACCCTATGAGAAATAGGCTCATGAAGTCTTCATGTGAACCCATCAAAACCACCACTGCTTTTGGTCTTGATAATGCCCCAACATAAGCATATTGACCAAGCTAAATGGTCTCTGGAACTCTATGTTTGGAGTGGTAGAGCCCTTACCTGTCTGTGTTGTTGGGAGACTTGATAGCCCAGTCCTGTGATGGACTGATTCTGAATTTTCTGAAGCAGGATCTTTTGCTGAAGTGGTAAGGGTGACCTCATCAAAGGCTGGCTTGATAAGGGTTGGGTGGGCTGTGATGGTGGCTGCTGCTGCTGCTGCTGCTGCTGCTGCTGTTGCTGCTGCTGCTGCTGTTGCTGCTGCTGCTGCTGTTGCTGCTGTTGCTGCTGAGCTGAAATAGAGCTCTGCTGCTGCTGCTGCTGCTGCTGTTGCTGCTGCTGTTGCTGCTGCTGCTGCTGCTGAGCTGTCATTGAGCTCTGCTGCTGTTGCTGCTGCTGCTGCTGCTGCTGCTGCTGGGTATAGTGTAGGAGAGAAGGCTTGTTCTGAGAAGGCAAAACAGAAGGCATCTGCTGGTTTGCTTGATCTGAATTAAAATGGAACAGAGGCTTGGTGTTGCCATGACGGGGCTCCAGGGCTGGGTGGGGGTTGTTAATAAAACTTCGGCTGAGCACATCCAGATGCCCACCCTGGGTTGAGGGGCTGGCCTTGTAAATGTAGTTAGCCATTACTTTTGACTGGTTGCTACTGCCAGCTACCCCGGACATAGGGGAGCCCTGTGGGCTAAATGGCTGCTGACCAAAAGAAGGGCTGGGAATTTTCTCTTGCCCAAATGGACCTGGGGATGGTCCAGCAGAAGAGGGCAAGGCTGACCAGTTGGTAGGCTGGTGCTGCTGCTGCTGCTGCTGCTGTTGCTGCTGTTGCTGCTGCTGCTGCTGCTGTTGCTGCTGCATCCGGGCATGCTGTTGACGATTGGCCGCAATTTGTTTGAGTTGCTGAGCATGGGATACTTCCTGCCAGCTTGGCAGGGCCCGATTTGCTCCTGACACTGTCTGAGGCTGAGCCTGGCTCTGAGGGACTGTAGGAATTGGGGATGAAGTGGAGAGGGCAGAATTGGCCATTGAGAATGCAGGGCCAGCTGATGGGGGCCTTAACTGAGGAGAGCTGGAGGGGCCTTGAGTCAGGCCAGGTGAGTATTCACTTTTGATCACCATCTTCTCCATGGGCAAGGAGGGTCGGGGCGTGCTTCTCTGGCTCTGCTGACCCAAGTCAATGTTAAATGGGTCGTCCTGCTTTATGGTGGCATTGATCATGTTCTCCAATTCAAGGTCACTCATGGGAGGCACAGATATGTTGGTCAGTTCATTGAAAAGTTCCTGCAGCTCAGGATCCATCAGTTGCTCTCCAGGGTCATCTCCATACCTATTACTAAAAAGATTCTCCTGCGGCATTTGACCATCCATGTGCTTACTGCAAGACAGAGTCTCTCCTGGCTCTTTCTTCACCTCTTTTAAGCCCATGTTAAACAAAGCATTGCCAGGAGAATGTATGTGGGATGGCAGTGTGCTAATCTTTCTTGGGGGTGCCTGACTCATAGGCAAGGCCCCTGGCATAATTTGATTTTGTCCATTATTTACTTGGAGGCCACCTTGTCCAGTAGAGAGATTCTCCCCAACACGGATTCTTTTGATATCAAGGAAAGAGTTGTCAACAAAGCCATTGGGCCTCTTGCTGTTGGCAGGAGACAGGTTAACTACCTGTTTTCTTTTCAAGGAACCCTGAAGCTGAAAAACAGAAGGGGAATGAAAAAGAAAAAATTGAGATATTAATTCAGTTATACTTTAAATCAAGATCAACTAATATTTAAACTTTTTTTTTCATTTACACACAGAATGCGATTTTTTAACAAAAGCACAATTGAAGCACAGTCTGGAATATAATAAAATTCACAGTAGCACAAAGAGAACAAAATAAATGTTTCTGAAGGAGCATGTCAGTTAGGCCAGAGATCACAGTGGCCCCCATGATTGGTTGGTACACAGGCCAAGGGATGAAGAATCCTTCAAATACAGAAGGAGTTACTCACAGTATCTAAGGTTAGTCACTAAAGCCGGTTGTTTTCTGGAACAGGCCAAAATAGTCCTTCTGCATGCATACACAAGCTACAGGTAATCAGCATGCACACATTTTTGCCCAAGTTGGGAAAACACAAACAGGTCTAAAGCTGACAAAATTTCTAGTTCCCCCCCACCACCACAGTTTCAATCCTGCCATCACTAGTATCCTCTAAGTAGGTAATTAGAATAGTTCTCAGGTCCAAGTAGATATTCTATCTGTTGTGCATCTAATTTTCTTCCTATAATTCCACCACTTTGCATTCAGGCATATGACAAAACATATTGTTCACAGTTGTCCCTCTGCTCCATGCTGGCCATTCCCAGATTGTAATCATTTTACCTGAGATTGAGAATGTCTCCATGCTTGCTGCCCCTGGCCCCTTCATGCTAGAAGGGGCAACATTGTGTGGATACACAGAGCCATGAGATTACCATTTATTCAGTGAGACACTCTAGGTATACATTTTTTCAGGAACTCCTTTCTTCTGTTGATTGTCTCTAAATCTTGTAACTAAAACCAAGGTGTTGAGAAGAAGTGCCACACAGTTGTCAGGAGTTCAGATTCTGGGATCAGACTAATCCAAACTCACACTCCAATTCTTTCTCTGAACATCATGTAACCTTGGCAACTTATTTACCTGAGCCTCAATTTCCTCATCTGGAAAAGGGGGCAAGCACTTAAGTTATAATGAGGTAATGCATATAAAATTTAACACAGTGCTTGCTGTAGTAACGAATCAATAAACGGTAGTTTATAGAAAAAGCATGGCTTGTTATATTCTGAAAGGGAGCATGTCTCCAAAATGGCAACATGTTTAAGTAGTTCATGAACTCAGTGATTAGATTTTCTTTATGAAACTTGAAAGTTATTGAGAAAGATTTAAGGACCATACACTTACACTGATAAATTTCTTAGAAGGATAAAACATTCATCACTGGGTCGCTGGTCCTTGTTGATTTGTCTCTAAAATGAGAATCTATCATTCAATGTGTGGCTTTCTCAGTGCTGCTGACCCACTTTAATTATTTCATGTTTGCTCAGGATAACCATAAAATACCTGAGGTATAATGCTTCCCAGATGGAAAATTCTACCACTTCTTTCCTTCTCACTTATAGCCACACCCTCACCCTCCTGAAAATTTGTAGGTAGCCTAATCAAGAAGGAAAAATTAACTGAGAATACATTCTATGCCAAGTATTTTAAATATGATTATTTTGTTTTCCTTAATCTGTACAACTATCCCATTATATAGGTAATATAATCCTTGTTTTATAGATAAGGAAACCAAGGCTTAGAGAGTAACTTGTCCAGGGTCACATAGCTAGTAAGCAGTAGATCTGGACTTCAATTCAATGTCTGTGTAGTTCTAAAGCCTGGGTCATACCCACTCTAATATGGTAGAATTAGCTTGTCCAGGCCCACAGTGTCTACCTAGCATGAAGGGACCAGGGGCAGTGAGTATAGCCACATCTTAGACCACAGGTAAAATGATGAGAAATCTGGAAAAGGTCAGGATGCAGCCCAGAGCCTAATATGAAGGATATGTCTCTGTGATCTAGTTAAGCAACACCAGTTCCAGTTATTCCTTACCCCATGCCTGAACTGTCTGCTCACAGGAGGTGTGTAGTTACGGTGTGTGTGCAATTATAATGTGTGTGCAATGCTAGTATGACAGGTTTTGACTTTTACAATTGTTGATTAGTAACCACAGAGAGAACTCTGACCCTGCTGGCCCAGTAAATCCTTCCCATGAGAATTCTAGATTTGGAGAAAGTGAGACCAGGTTCTCCCTGGATGGATGTGTACTGATATACAAAACTTCTGAGCTATTATGATGTCAACCAAAGCCATAGAGGAAGTAAGTCTGTAGAAAGAAGAATGAAGAAGAAAGGAAAGACACATGGAGGGCCTGATTCCAATCCCAGGTTAGATCTGCAATGAATTTCCCTGTTTGTTTGAGCTAACTTTAGCTTGAGCTGACTTTAGCTTCTGTTACTTTCAACCAAGAGCTCTAACCAAATTCCCTGAGACTTCATGTTCAGTGATGAACAAATTTGCAGCAAGGAACAAAGACACACACACCATGGTGAAAAGCTTCCTGCCATTCCCCATCTCTGCTGTCTCTCTGATTTGCTGACTCCTAATTTTGTCTACTTACTGGTGTAGACAACATCATCCTAGAACTATGTCAGCCATCACCACATTCAGCAGAAACTCAAGTTGCCACAGTCTGTCTTCCCCAGATCAGGAAGAGCACAAACCAGAGAGATTCAGTCATGTTTGATTTACTTCAGCATTAGCTGTATTTGAAGGTTCTTTTGCAACTAGTAAAGAACAAACAAAAGAGTACATTCTTTTTCCAGATTTGGGCTGTTGCCGTTGATTTATTTTTCCACTCTTTTGAAAAAAAAAAAAAAAACCTGTTCTGCCAGATTCTCCCAGTGCTCAGGCCCCTCCCAGGCAGTTCAGCGCACACTCTGGGAAACAGTGCCAACTCTCTCATTAGGCCACCAGGAATGTGGAGGCAGCAAGAGAATTAGCAATAGCTGTAGTGGAAGTGACAATAGTAATAACAGGGCATGTGCACTAGGCTTCTAGGTAAGCTCTTTGTATAAATAATGCCGTTTAATTCTGACAGTATAAAGGAGATACTTTGGTTCTATGATTCTGCACAACAGCTGTAAAGGTGGATACTATTTGTACCCTTGCCCCCATTTTGCAGATGAGAAAAACTGAATTGTAAAGATTGAATAACTTTTCTACATCATACACATAGTAAGCAATGAAAGCAGGAATCAGACTTCACTTCTCCAGGCCACAGTTCTTTCCTTTATATACAACATTATCCCTGAAATTTGTTTCCTGCCCAAGCCCAGAAAATAATGAGTACTGTAGTGAAGTTTGTTCTTTATGAGTGGGGATGGCAGGTCACACCAAGCATAGCTGGGGGAATGGCTTAAGAAAAAGTGATATGTGGCTCCATGAGGATAGAAGAGATCCCATTAAAACTCCAATGGCAAGAAGGCAGGGCAGGAGAGGGGAGGGGACACTTATAATCTGTCGGTGGGAATGTGCATTAGTCCAGCCACTGTAGAAATCAGCATGGAGGTTCCTCAAAAGATTAGGGACAGGGTGGGGGGGAGGGGGGACTGGGGTTGTGGCTCAGTGGTAGAGTGCTTGCTTGCTCACCTTGCAGAGATAAGGCACTGGGTTCGATCCTCAGCACCACATAAAAACAAATAAATAAAATAAAGATAAAAAAAAAAGACTAGGGATGGAACCACCACATGATCCAGTAATGCCACTCTTTGATATTTACCCAAAGAACTAAAATCTGTATACTATAGTAATACATGCATACTCATGTTTATAGAAGCACAATTCACAAAAGCCAAACTATGGAGCCAGTCTAGGTGTATCTTTCGACCAATGAATGGGGGAAAAAAAAAAGTGGGATGTATACACAATGGAGTTCTATTCAGCCATAAAGAAGAACAGAATTATGTCATTTGCAGGGAAATGGATGAAACTAGAGAGTGTCATGTAAAGTGAAATAATCCAGACTCAGAAAGTTAAGGGCCAAGTGTTTTCTCTCATATGTGGAAGCTAAAGAGAAAAAAGAAAGAAGGGGTATCATGAACGTAGAAGGAAGACCAGCAGGGTAGAGGTAGGGGTGAAGGGGGAGGAATGAGGGGAGAGAAAGGACAGATCCTGGGGAATGAAACTGAGGGAATTATGTTCAGTGCATGTGTGAATGCCACTATTCTGAGTAATTTAGGCATCATTAAAAAATATTCCATTAAGCATAATAATTTACCAAGAGAATTTTGGTGATAGGCTGTGCCAGAGATAAGCTGTGTCCTGCTTTTTCAAAGTTTCTAATTATGTCACCAAAGCCCACTGAATGCACAGATATAGTAGGCACCAAACTACGGGTCCAATACAATATAAATGATTTTCAAATTTCACTGTTTGCTTTAAAGTATTTCCTTCATCAGACAAAATTTTTCCCTCAGATACATGGTTTTGAATTATGATATAGAGCTCTTAAAGATCCTTGTCAAAATGGAAACACTCTAGAAGCGGGAGAGGAGAAACTATCATTAATACCTCGGTAAGAAATATTTGTCAGAAAATTCAAGGTTGACTTGTCAGAACAAGAATAAGAGACCTAGGGGAACAAGACCCAACTAGAGGGATATTGGCAACTAAGACATGGGTTCCAATGGAGAAGGAGACGGGCAGGATTAGAGGAGCTGGAAGCTCCGCAGCATAGACTTTTTGGATGGCTGGGGCCCAGGGAAGGAGGGGAGATTAAGTTTGGGAAAACTGTAGGGGCAGTGTATGTTCTGAGGGTCAGAGAGCAGCAACTTCCAGAAAGCAGTTAATCACATTGGAAAGCAGTTGATCACATTGGAGAAAGCATCTCCAGTACAGATCTCTCGCCAAGGGTCAACTTACAACCAACTTTGATACTGTGGCAAAGACATAGCTCCTAGGGCCCCAGTTGAATCTGGAGTCTACAAAAATGTATTAGTTTATTCAAAACAGAAGAAAAAAGTGAGTGATTAAGTTCAATAAATATTCTCACATCTAATGTAATTTATTTATCTTCATGCCAATCTAGTTGTAAAATACAATTTTTAATATTTTTTCTCAGAAATG